GCGTAGTGAATAGTGGGTAGTGAGCAGATAGTAGCGAGTAGTGAGGAGTGAGAAGTGAGTAGTGATTAGCTCGCAGTGAGCAGTGCGTAGTCAGTAATGAATAGTGTGTAGTGAGGAGCGGGGCGTGAGTAGTGAGTAGCGAGTATGGGGGTAGTGAGTAGTGAATAGTGAGCGCGGATCGGGCATTGTGAGTAGTGAGTAGTGAGGAGGGGGTAGCCAGTAGTGAGTCGCGAGTGGGGAGCAGCAAGTCGTGAGTAGGGAGTAGAGAGTAGGGAGTAGTGAGTACTGAATAGTGACAAGAGAAAAGTGAGTAGTGAGTAGTGGGTAGAGCGTAGAGGGTAGCGAGTAGTGAGGAGTAAGTAGTGAGGCATGAGTAGTGAGAAGTGAGCATTGACTAGTAGGTAGTGAGTAGCGACTTTTGACTTGTGACTGGCGAGTAAGGGGTAGGGCGTAGTGAGTAGTAGTGCGTAGCGGGTAGTGAATATTGCGTATTGGGTAGCGAATAGGGAGTAGCGGGTAGTGAGTAGCGAGTAGTGATCAGTGAGTACTGTGTAGGGAGTAGGGAGTAACGAGTAGCGAGCAGTAGATAGTGAGTAGTGAGTTGTGGGCAGTGAGTAGTGATTAGTGAGCTGTGAGTAGTCAGTAGTGCGTAGTGGATAGTGGTTAGTGGGTAGTGAGTAGGGTTTTGTGAGTAATGAGTAGTGGGCAGTGAGTGGTGTTCAAGGAGTAGTGGGTATTGAGCACTGGGTAGTAAGTAGTGAGCGGTGAGTTTGAAGCCGGGAGTAGGGAGTAGTGAGTAGTGGGAGGGTAGTGAGTTGTATGTAATGGATAATGTATCGTGTGTAGCAGGTAGCGAGTTAGGTGTGAAGAATAGCGAGTAGTGAGCAGTGACTAGTGAGTACTGTGTAGGGAGTAGGGAGATGCGAGTAGCGGGCAGTGGATAATGAGTAGTGAGCTGTGGGCACTGAATAGTGAGTAGTGAAGTGTGAGTAGTGAGTAGTGGTTAGTGGGCAGTGAATAGCGATTTGTGATTCGTGAGTAGTGGATAGTGAGTTTTTTTTGGTGGGTACCGAGTAGTGGATAGTGAGTAGTTAGTAGTGCGTAGCTAGTAGTGAGTGGGGAGTAGTGAGCAGTGAGTAGTGGTTAGTGGTTAGTCGGTAGTGAGTAGCGCGTCGTGAATAGTGAGAAATAGTGAGAAGTGAGTAGTGAGTAGCGAGTCTTGAATAAGGGGTAGCGAGTAGTGAGGAATGAGAAGCGCGTAGTGGTTAGCGCGCAGTGAGTAGTGAGTAGTGAGTAATGAATAGTGTGTAGTGCGGAGCGGGGAGTGAGTAGTGAGTAGCGGGTATGGGGGTAGCGAGTAGTGAACGGTGAGTCGCGACTCGGGCATTATGAATAGTGAGTAGTGAGGAGGGAGTAGCCAGTAGTGAGAAGCGAGTAGGGAGTAGCGAGCCGTGAGTCGTGAGCAGTGGGTAGTGAGCAAGGAGTAGAGAGTATAATGTAGTGAGTACAGAATAGTGACACTTGAAAAGTGGATAGTGAGTAGTGGGTAGTGGGTAGAGCGTAGAGAGTAGCGAGTAGTGAGGAGTGAGTAGTAGTAGTGAGTAGTGAGGCGTGAGTAGTGGGAAGTGAGTACTGACTAGGAAGTAGTGAGTAGCGAGTAAGGGGTAGGGAGTAGTGAGTAGTGCGTAGCGGGTAGTGAATATTGCGTATTGGGTAGCGAATAGGGGGTTGGGAGTAGCAAGTAGTGAGTAGTGAGTAGTGAGCAGCGAGTACTGTCTAGGGAGTAGCGAGCAGCGGATAGTGAGTAGTGAGCTGTGGGCAGTGAATAGTGAATAATGAACTGGGAATTTTCAGTAGTGCGTAGTGGGTAGTGGGTAGTGAGTAGTGCTTAAATAGTAATGAGTAGTGGGCAGTCAGTCGTTTTCAATGAGTAGTGCGTATTGAGTACTGGGTAGAGAGTAGTGAGTGGTGAGTTGGAAGTTTGGAGTAGGGAGTAGGGAGTAGTGGGAGTGTAGCGAGGTAGTAAATAATGGATAATGTTTCTTGTGTATCAGGTAGCGAGTAGGGTGTGAAGAATAGCGAGTAGTGAGCAGTGAGTAGTGCGTACTGTGTAGGGAGTAGCTAGTAGCGAGTAGTGGATAATGAGTAGTGGGCTGTGGGCAGCGAATAGTGAGTATTGAAGTGTGAGTGGTGAGTAGTGAGTAGTAGTTAGTGGGCAGTGAGTAGCGATTTGGGATTAGTGAGTAGTGGGTAGTGAGTTGTTTGTTTGTGAGTAGTGCGTATTGAGTAGTGGATAGTGAGCAGTTAGTAGTGAGTAGCTAGTAGTGAGTAGTGAGTAGTGAGTAGTGGGTAGTGGGTAGTGGTTAGTGGGTGGGGAGTAGTGAGTCGTGAATCGTCAGTAGTAGTGAGACGTGAGTAGTGAGTAGCGAGTCGTGGGGTAGTGAACAGTGCGTGATGAGTAGTGAGTGTTGTCTGTGGCCATGGTCAGGGTTTGGGGTCAGAATTAGGCGTTAGGGCAAGGGTGAGGATTTGTGTTAGGGGTGGTAGGGTTCGGGTTCTGGAGCCTGGGTGCGCCGTGGCGAAAGTGGGGGAGGGGTGGGTGGTTCGAACTTGGCGGCCAAAGGGGGGGAGGGGGGGGGTCGGACCCCCCCTCTTTGAATGGGGAGAAACGGGGGGGTCCCCGACGACGGATCGGGAAAGGGGGGGGGGGGTCCTCCCCCCCCCCTCATTCTTTGGGGATTTGGGGAGATCCAGCGGCGCACCCTCCTTCAGTCGAGCCTGCCCCCCTGCAGGCGAAATTTGTGATAACAGCCAAAAGTTTGCCAGGGGACGATTGTTCTACGATGTTTGACTATATTTGAATAGTTGTTGCGATACTGTTTTCTTGTGTTTCGTCCAAAATCCGCCTGTAGGAGGACATGCCTCACCTAACCCTACGCCCACCACCCGCGATATCTGCGAGGGGGTTCGGGGTCCATGCCGCTCGGGAGCTCCCGAACGAAGCGACCCCCCCCCCCCCCTTGGACATCGCTGGGGGCGGGGGTTGGGCTTCGCACGTGGTCGTCTGCCCTCTGCCCGTCCACCGGGGAGAGGGCGGGTGCGGAGTCTCTGCGGCGTGCCGCTGCCTGCGGCCCCACCGCCGCGCCTCCCCAACGGGAACTTGCACGTGACCATTGCCCAGAGGATCAGTGTCCGGGGACCTCGACAGACGGTGGATGTGGACATACTCGGGCCCCTAGGGGCCAATATGTCTGTACATATATATATATATATATATATATATATATACATATGTGTGTGGGTGTGTGTGTGTGTGTGTGTGTGTGTCCATATCCACCGCCCGCTGGGGCACCAGGACGTCGGTGCCCAGGCGGTGGATATGGACAAATCCCCGCCTCGCAATGCCGCTTCCTCGATGCATACGGCATGTTCGCGTCGGTTCGACCGGCGGCGACCTCGGCGCGTGCGCTTCAGGTCGGACGCCGTCTGTGGCCCAGGATCGGCCCACCTTTGAGCGATTCGGTCTGTTCGAACGGGCCAACGGTGCAAGTTTGAACGATCCGCGCAGCGTCAGGAGCCAGCGCCGGGGTCGATACGACGCGAACCTGACGTAGGCCCCCCGTGGGCGCGCCAGGAATCAGCTGCGTGTGAGCTGATTCGTACCCCCCCCTCCTCCTGCTGTCCCCGCCCCCTTCCAGCCCACGAGAAGGGGCAACGACAGGGTTGAGTCGGGCGTGTCCCTCTACAGGAAGAGTTTTCAAAGATAGCCAAACAAAATAATTTGGAGACGATCTTTGGAGTTTGGACGAGCATCTTGCTGGACAGCATCTTGTCGACGATTTCTTGTGCTTCGTCCAAGGTGCGCCTGTAGGAGGACACGCCCGGCCCCACGACAGGGAAGCACAGGCTCAGGGGTGGCCTCTATCGCGGGTCGTTGTGCTCGATGTTCCCCCTCCTGAGCCCGTCCCCCTACCCAACCTCCTCCTCCTCCTCCTCCTCCCCCCCCTCCTCCTCTCCTCCTCCTCCTCCTCCCCTCCTCCTCCTCCTCTCCCCCCCTCCCTCCTCCCTCTCCTCCTCCCTCCTCCTCCTCCTCTCTCTCCTCCTCCTCCTCCTCCTCCTCCTCCTCCTCCTCCTCTCCTCCTCGCCCCCCCCCCAATCGCCCACTCGTCGCCAGTGCCTGGCCCACCCCGCCCAGGGAGCGTGCGGCTTCGCCCTCGGGAGCCTCCGTCGCCGCTCCGTCCGCGATTGGTCGCCGGTTCCAGGTCGGTGCTCCCCCCTCGGGAGCCTCGAGACGGGGGTCAGTGCAGACGGGGGTCAGCCAGAGTGCCGGATCTTGCAGGATCCTGCAGCGCCAGGGTCGCATTGACCCGGGTTTGGGTGCAGGATTCTGCAGGATCCTGCAGGATCCGTCGCATTGACCCGGGTTTGGGTGCAGGATCTTGCAGGATTTTGCAGGCCTGATTGACCCGGGTCTGGATTGACCCGGGTCAGAAGATCCCCGACCCCCCGCGAGCCGGTCTCCCTTGTATCGGGGAAACGCAAGACTCGAGTGAGCCGGAACTCGGGTTTGCCGACGTTTTTTGGCGAGCGCGTCCTGGATGTTGACGGCCCAGTTTGTTCGCTGGACGTTTGCGGCGGGAGCTCGCGTCAGATTTCAGAGGGGGCCTCGTCGTTCTTGTAATGGCCCCGTCGGGCCAGCCCGAGTCCCCCGTGCCCGAGTCTTCCGTCTCCCCGATTGCAGCGTCCGAGGCCGGGGCGCTTCTCGATTGTCACCGCCGGGCACCGATCTTCGGCCCGCGGGGGCCTCGGCGGGCGGCGGTTAGATTCGGGCGCAGAGGACTATATGCACATGCACCGATCCTGGCAAGGGCCGTCCTCGACCCAGGATCGGTGCATGATGCCCTCCCGGCCAAGGCAGGAGGGCGTAGGCACCGATCCTGGGCTCAGGAGGGGCCTGGCCAGAGTCGGTGTGTGTGCACAGTTCTCTTTTTCCTCTAGTCATGGAGACCACCACGCCTGGCACGGCGCTCGAAAGAGAGACGGCCGCATGCAGAACAGCCGTCGGAGCTCCGCATGGACGTCTCGGGTCGGCGATGGGCCCCCTCGGCGGCGCCTCCTGCGCCGCTCCTGGCGCTTTGCGCGCGCCGGGGAGGAGCTTCCGGCGCCGATCCAGAGGATCCGCGCGGACCTCGGAGGACGCATCCAATTCGGGAGCCTCGAGACGGGGGTCAGTGCAGACGGGGGTCAGCCAGAGTGCCCGATTTTGCAGGATCCTGCAGCGCCAGGGTCGCATTGACCCGGGTTTGGGTGCAGGATCCTGCAGGATCCTTCGCGTTGACCCGGGTTTGGGTGCAGGATCTTGCAGGATTTTGCAGGCCTGATTGACCCGGGTCAGAAGATCCCCGACCAATGGCCGTCGGACCGTCCTCACCACCCACCAAGCCACCCCAACCCAACCCGAAGGCCTCAAATCGACCTCCATTTCCAGTGGGGGCGGGTCGGGGAACGTCGATAAAACACTTGTGTGATCCGCGGGTCGAGAGCGCACCTCTTCCGGTCGAAGCTAAGCGGGCCGCGCGACGCTTGAATCAGGCAGAGAAGAGAAGGAAGGAAACGGCGGAGCCTCAGAGCGAGGCCGAGAGGAGGCGTAACATCGAGAAAACACATACGGAACCTGTACACCCCCCCAACCCGAAATTCGGGTCTTCGGGTTGGGTTGGGGTGGTCTGGCAGGTAGTCACTTTCCGCCGCTGTGCCTGGGCTGGAGGTCACTGGTCGTAGACCTCCTGGGATGTGCGCTGGCATGTCGCGGGGGGCCTCTTGGGGGCCCTGTGGAGGCCTCTTGGGAGCCGTTTCGGGACCTCCTGGGGTGTGTTGAGGGCCTCTTGGGGGTTTCTTGGGGGGCCCTTGGCGCCTCCTTGGGGGCTTCGTGGCGCCTCCTTTTCCATTCGTATTTCCCCTCCTGGGCTCTGCTTTGGTTTGTCTTGGGCCCTCCTGGGCTGTCCTGGGCGCCTGTGGGGCCGTGTTGGAGACGGCTTGGGCCGTCTTGGGGCTATCTTGGGAGCATGTTTGGCCGTCTTGAGGCGGTCTTGGCGGCATCTTGGGCCGTCTTGGCGCGGTGGAAGCTCGAAAAGTCGAGGGCCCCAAGAACATTGAGCAGCCAACGGACACATAAGCATTTCGACCTCTCGGGACCCTCTTGGGAAGGCTCTCGGGGCTCTCGTGGGGCGCCTCGAAGGCCTCGAGGGCCGTCTCGGGGTCCTCTGGGGAATATTGGACCGATCGTGCGACGATTCGGAGCCCTCTTGGACCGTCTTGGGGACCTCTTGGGCCAGAACCACTTATGCGGGAAGGCGCCCTCCCAGGGGCCCCGTTGGGGACCTCAGGGGATTTGGCGATTTGGGGTCTGAGCCCCAGGGGATTTGGCGATTTGGCGATTCTGCGGGAAGGCGCCCTGGGCCCCAGAGCCCCGTTGGGAGCCCCAAGAACCCCCAGAATTGAGAACTGAGGCTTAAGGGATTAGGCCAAGGACCTGAGGACACTCGAGTGGCTCAATGGCACGGTGGCGGATGCTTATGCAGACGTTGTTCCTCCAATCGTTCCCCCTCAGGGAAGGAGGCAAGGCGGCTGGATGCCACGAGGGCCCCCGGGCCGTCATGGACATCTGCGTGTCGGTGACACTCATGGGCAGCGTGGCGTTTATGATGGGGCTCTTCTATGTGTTGGCCATGGGCGCATCCCGCCACCCCAGCACCATCTCGAGGTTGCCGTGTTGTTGATGTTATGGTGTGCGTTCTTACAGTTGCTTGCTCGTTGGGACAACACCACGTGCTGTTTTTGACCGTGCTCGGCCCCGGGGCCCTCACCGCGTCCGGGGACCGTCGACAGCTCGGAACGGAGAGCAGTTCCTGGGGAAGGAGCCCAGATCTCGGGAGGGCCGCGTTGTGAACAAGCCATGGGAGAGACGGGTTCCGAGGGACACAGTTTCTGCGGTTTTTTTCCGCCTCCAGGTTCGGGGGGCCCGCCCCAGGCAGTGGGGCCGCCAAAAATCAATGCGGGATGAATAACGGTCGCAGGGAGGAGTTCTGCGATTCAGGACCCGTTCCCCTCAGGACCCGCATCTTCCATGGCGGACAGGATTTCAGGACGCTCTACCCAATGCGTGTGGCATGGTGGCGGATTTGACCAACAACAAGGACCCGAGGAAGGCAGCCGACTCGTGGAAAGTGATCAGCGCGACCATCTCAATCTTCTCCGCGGTTCTCATCTTCCAGTGTATAAATGGCGTCCTCTCGGCGGTGCTGCTGTGGACAGGCGCCAGCGATTCGCTCAGTCTCGGGATATCTTTCGCGCACATGTTGGTGTGGATGTTCTGTCTGCACATCTGCCTCGCCTGGATTGCGAGCAAGCTCCGTGATGCGCACCAGGAAGGCTCGGGACACGTGCGGAGATGAAGAGGCGGAGCAACAGGAGGAGGGGGGATTGCAGGAGGCGGGGGAGAAGGAAGATGAGTGGGGGGGACTGCAGGAGGCGAAGGAGGATTACCAAGCTAGCTATAGGCTTAAAGGGTATCTAAATCATCTTTGAGGATGACGCGCTCATGGTCGAAATATTTGAGGCTGTTGAGCATTTCGCGGCCAGTCGATTCCGCGGCCATCGATTCCGCCAGGCGGCAAAATCAAGAGGAGGAGAAACAGGGCGGGGGAGAAGGAGGGGAGTCATGAGCAGGAGCCAGCAGCAGTGTCGCGACTGCTCCGCAGCGCGCCCCAGGACGACGTAGGTCAAGTGCAGGCGGCCGAGCTCAACATGAAGTGCTTCGCGGTGCTGCTTGGTCACACGACTGGATTTGCCGCAATCAGGGCCTTCGCACTCGGGCAGCACATGGTGCCCGGGGGGGCCCTGCAGAAGTTGATCATCGTGCCACTCAGTTGGATTGCCCTGTTCCTCCTGGACGCTCTATGCGATAAGGTTCGGAACGCCGCGATTATGGCAGATGGCAAGGTTTCGTGGTTCGAGCATGTCTGGAATAACCTCGTGGAGGAATATGAGGACGACATCATAGGTCTCACATCCGCGTTCCTGATAGTGCAAACTTTCAGACTCTGGCTCACGGGTAGCTTGCCCGATGAGGAGGGCGAGTATGAGGATGATGTCTCGTATTCTGATTTGTATGTTGCATGCCTGCTGTTGTGTGGCATTTCTTTTGGCATTGTGGAGGGAGCGCGGCTGATGTTGAGCCACGTGCTGTGCACACTACGCGGGCCCAGGTTACATGTGGAAGCGTACTCCAGATTTCGTAATAAAAGTGAGGGGGTCTGGACCCTCCAAGACAAGCCATTTGAGACCTCCCCCCGTGGGAGAACCCTCCAAAACATCGTCCCCAGACCCCCCCAGGCCCTCCAGGATAGCCTGGAAGAGACCCCCCCCGAAATGAGACCCCCCTCTTTTTATTACGAAATCTGGAGTAGTAGCAGAGGGGGGCGGGGGGGCGGGCCTCCTCGGCATGCTCAGAAGGCCTCGCGCTTGCCGAGAAGCCCCCCCCAGCCCCCCCCCGAGGCCGCCGGGGGCCTCGCGGCAGGCGCGAGGGCTTCCCCGGGGGCCCGCCGCCCGGCGCCGAGCAAGAAGTGGTCGGGGCGGAGGAGGCGGGGGGCAGAGGGCACTGGACGGCTGGGGGAGGAGGAGGAGGAGGAGGAGGAGGAGGGGGGAGGAGGAGGAGGAGGAGGAGGAGGAGGAGGAGGAGGAGCAGGAGGAGCAGGAGGAGCAGGAGGGAGGAGGGGGGAGGAGGAGGAGGAGGAGGAGGAGGAGGAGGAGGAGGAGGAGGAGGAGGGAGGAGAGGAGGAGGAGGAGGAGGAGGAGGGGGGGGGGGTATCGTGGGGCGGGGCGGCGGGGTCGGTGCGACGCCGGAGCGCAACGGTCGGGGCGGAGGGGGGCCGGGCGCGCTGGGCGGGGCCGGCGGGGCCCGCTTTCTCGGGGCACGGGGCCCCTCCGGGCCGCCCGCCGAGCGCCCGCCCGCCGCGGCGCCTCGGCGATCCGCGCGCGCGGGGGTCACCGCCCGGTCGGAGCGGGAGCAGCTGCACGGAGCGGAAGGGAAAGATTCACCGCCCACCAAACCACCCAACCCAACCCGAAGGCTCAGAGTTATCCTCGATTTTCCAGTGTGGGGGGGGGTCGGGAAACATCGGACAAGCACGTGTGGAACCCCTTAACCCCCCCCCCCCAACCCGAAATTCGGGTCTTCGGGTTGGGTTGGGGTGGTCTGGTAGACAGTCAAAGATGGCAATGATGGCCACTGACGACGGCGAGCACGACGCTCACGCGGAGCGGCACGTGCGCAGGCATACTCTGGGAGCTCCGCGCGAACTTCTTGGATCGGCGCCGGGGGCCTCCTGGCGGCGCGTCCGGCGCCGGGGGCCCCTGGCGCGCGCCAGGGGGAGGCTTCCCGGGAAATCCGCGCGGAGGTCGTGCCATCGGTGTATGCTTCGGAGGTGGATAGACCTCCTACCCTGACACGTCGAGTGAGGAATTGGCCGTTTTCGTTTCGAGAGGGGGCGTCGCGGCCGTCATTTTTGCGGGTCCAGGTCCGTCGGTTTCGGTCCCAGGCCGTTTTCACTAAGGGGAGGTTTACTAAAGGGAGGTTTGTCCACCGCCGAATGCTTACGTTGATGCCTTGCCTTCTCGTCCTCTAGCCATGATCCGTCGCAGGTCCGCGCGGGTGTTGTGCTTCTCCTCCTCTGCCGACGGTGTCGAAGCACGCAGGCCGCATCGAGGCACCGAAGCAACAGAGGGCGGAGGACAGAGGACGGGCACCGCGAGGGAGGGACGGGTGCCGTGCACACTGGGCTCCTTTCCCGCTACGGCCTGGGAGTTGGCGAGGTATTGCGCGCACCTGGGGGATGAAAGGAAAAGAACAGCGTGCACAAATTGCCCGAGTTCTGCGCATATCTAAGGAGCAGACACAAGTAACCGTCGATTCCCAGAACATATGGGAAGATATGGGAAGTGGGGGGAAGACCGAAACCCAGAACATATGATGGGAAAAGATGGGGAATCTATCTATTTGTGTGTATTGATGTGTGTGTCCTGGGGCCCCTTCATACATAAGTTGTCGGAGGTCTCCGCATCGGCGTGGGAACCACCTCCCGGCGCGCGGAGCGCGCCACGGGCGGCGCCAGAGGCGGCGCCAGGGGGGCCCGGTGCCGACCCAACGAGTCCGCGCGGACCTCTGCAAGCTTGTGCGTATGACGTCTCGCGTGGCTCTGGCCGCGCTCCCCCGGAAGGAGAGGAATGATGGCAACAAGGCGATCTCAGCGGCGGACGCTCTCCCCTCCTCCCCCTCCTCCCTCCTCCTCCTCCTCCTCCCCCTCCCCTCCCCCCCCCTCCTCCTCCTCCTCCTCCTCCTCCTCCTCCTCCTCCTCCTCCTCCTCCTCCTCCTCCTCCTCCTCCTCCTCCTCCAGGTTGTGGCCCGACTCGAGCGAGCGGGAGCCACTCGCGCGCGCGGGGCACGTCGAGCGTCCACCTGTGCACCTAGCTCCAAGTTGGGCCTGTCCACCTACAGGGGGATTTTCGACGAAAAACAAAAAATACCCCCAAAATACCCCAAGAAGGTCAAAACATATTCAGAAAATAGTCCCCAGACTATTTTTGTATTATTTTTTGACTCGTTTCGGGGTATTTGTTGCATTTTTCGTCGAAAATCCCCCTGTAAGGGGACAGGTCCGACATAAACCTAGCTCTGGCTTCTACCTCCACAGAGCCAGCCGCTTGCGGCAAGCATCGCCGCCGTGCTGACGCAAGGACGGGTCCTACTATCCAGGCAGTGCCTCTGCTCGCCAGTTCGCCAGTGCATCGGCGATGCAACTCGATGTGGAGCCCTAGTTTCCCCACGCCGACGTCACCAATGCACCTCCCACGTAGCGGGTGCATCGCCGGTGCGTCGGCGATGCGGTGCGATCTTCTGGCCCAAACTAGTCAGACCACATTTGGGAGGCATCGAAGAGAGTCACTCCTCAAAACTACAGCGTCGTGTTTTTTTACGTGGATCCTTCGATGCTCGGACCTCTTACACGGAAACCTATTTTAATTCTGAGTCGTTTTCCGACGGCCCCAGTGCACAGTGAGAGCTCCATGAGACCGAACATGGCCCAACATTCCCCGTCTTGGTTCTCTAGCGAGAAGAGAAGTGTGTTCTTGCACGTCATGCCTCCCTCATGCCATCCCACGCCTCATCGTAGAAGAACAATCCGCATTGACATAATTTGTTGGAGGTCCTCGTGGATCTTTTGGATTGGCCCCAGGCCCCCCTGGCAGCGACTCCGGTCATCCCTGAAATTCGCGCGGACCTTCGAAAGTGTATGTTCATGCAGTTGGTTATTTTTCCAGGCGAACTTCGATGGGTGTTCATGGGAGCCTTGGGCGGTGACATTGAAACCAGCTTTGTTCGCATTTTGACCGCACTTTGACCGCATTTGGCCCTTCCTCCAGCTCCTCCTCGCCCTTCTGTTCTTCCTCCCCCTCCTCATTCTTCTCGTCTCCCCTGTGACGGGCAGAATCCAGTCAGACTCCGGTCCCAATCTGGCCCCAAATGTGTTCCAACGCCTGCCCAAGTCAGGCCGAATAGGGCAGCGTTGGGGGCCACGTGGGACCCCCCTCCTCCTCCTCCTCCTCCTCCTCCTCCTCCTCCTCCTCCTCCTCCTCCTCCTCTTCCTCCTCCTCCTCCTCCTCCGCCTCCTCCTCCTCCTCCTCCACCTCATCTTCTCCTCCTCCTGCTGGCAGCAGGAGCCAGGAGCAGCGAGGCGCCCCAGGGTGGCCTCGGGCGGCGCGCGCGGGGCTGCCTCGCGGGGCCAGCGAGCGAGGGGCGTCGATCGGGGCGCCATCCTCCAGGCCTCCCCGGAGGGGCCCGAGCGGGCGGGGTCGGAGGATCGCGCCGCATCGCCGATGCCTCGTCGATGCGGCTCGATGTGCTTGGCATCGCTCCGACGTGTGCATTTTTCCTTCGGCGAGGACCATCGAGGAGCATCCTCGATCGTTTGGCGAGAAAGCCACGCACGAGACCGGAAAAAAGCACAGGGAATGGACGTCCGAGCGATGGCCAGTGTGGAGCCGGGGTGCCTCCACGCCGACGGCGCCGATGCACTCTCGATGCGGCGCGACCTCCCGACCCCATCTACTCGCGGACGCCATCGGGGAGGCCCCCACCCCTGCCCTCGTTCTCGCGGGATCCGCCACGCCGTCTGGCCCCTTCGGGCCGGCGGGTTCCAGTCACGTTCGGGCGCTTCACGGCCCAGCTTCAGAGGGTTACGGCCATGATCGTGGGCTGGAGTCTTTTCTACAGTGCCGATGGGCTTGTGACGGTCCATTTTCCTTATATGGTCGGGGTCATAAAGCGCGTGGTTGTGGCGTTGGGTGTTACCCTGCTGTCCATGGCGTGCATCTTTGCCATGGGAGACGCGGAGGAGACATTCATCAAATATTCGTTCAAGACGGAAAAGGAGTCCACTCTAGTCGGAGGCGCGAGGCCTCAGCTCAAAGATAATTTCAAAGAGATATTCAAGTTCTTGAGAAGCACCGAGAGGGGGATGGCGACACTGATCGGTTTTGCTTGGGAGCAGCTGTTCGACTTGGCGGTGGTCAGCATTTCGCACGCGGATTCCGCCAGTCAGGTTGTGCCGCCTTGCGTCACGAAGCTGCTTCTGGCCCTCGTGCTGGCGGGAATGGTGATACCGTCCTGGCGGTTGTACATCCTCCCACTCACTGCCCCACTCACTGATTCGCTTGAAGAGGAGGACGATAAGGAGTGGGAGGACGCCCACCTTCAGCACAACCCGTCCCAGACAGAATCCCTCCTCCGCAGGCTCACCATTGAAGACGCCGTAGACGTCCGCCTGGTTCCGCGCCTGAGCAGGATCCAGGGTGGCCAAGGGTACCCCTGAACAGACACACCTTGGCAGATCCGATTTTGATCCAATCAATCCGGTTCGATAACGATCTCAGTTGGCCCGGTCGGATTCGATTCCGATATTCCTCCGATCCGATGCGGCCCGATGTTTGCATGGCGTTGTCTTGTTGCGGCCGATCCGACCCGATTCCGACTCGGCGCCGACGTGGCCGGGTCGGTCGCACATTCCGATTCGGTCCGATCTCCCGATTCAATGTTGATTGATCTTTGGCATCCAGGGGAGGTCAAACGTACCCAGAACATGCGTACCTTGGAGAGGGTTCCCATGTCAGAAGCAACGTTAGGCTTTCGGGGGGACAGGCTCAGGGAGGTTGCATCGATCCCCAAATTGTGCATTCATCGCGAATAGAGGCCCGGTGGCCCACCTCGCCCAGGAACATGCGGATTCGCCGTCGAGGACACATCGCCGACTCACTATGGCCAACCCGCGGCGCCGCTTAATCCATCTTTGTCTGTGTCACCACGTCACCACCCGAGGCTCCCAAACAGCACGTTTGGGCGCCATCTCAGCAGGGTCGAGAGCCACGCGCCACATTGGAAGAACTGGCTCGAGCCAGAAGCGACGAGCTGATTGCAATCGACTGCGTTCTCCGGCTCAGCAGGCAAGCTCTCGTCACCAAAGTCCACCCTCGCCGGAACCCCTGCATTGACTCAAGGAATGCTGCAGCTTGCTTGGGCCCCTCCGCAGGGTGCTTCCCCCCATACATGGGCGCCTCCGGAGCCAGGGGGCGACGGACGAAACATCAGGTCCGCGAGTCGAGTCGCTAACCCCGCCTTGACCTACCCACTTTCCTCCGTCCATTCCAGCTCACCATGGGAGGGGCAGGGCGAGTCAAAGTGGGAAGAACGGCACAGGCATACGTTTTCGAGTGTCCGCGCGGGTTGCCTTGAGTCGTCGTTTTGGAGTCCCCTGGCACCAGGGAGGGAGGCCCAGGGAGTGAGGCCCACCGCCGATACGCGAGGAGTCCGCGCGGAGCTACGCAAGCTTTTGCTTGCAGTTTCTCGTTGCTTCTGGGAGCAGATGCACCATCCTGGTCTAGGGGTACTCCAGCCTTCGTAATAAAAGGGAGGGGGTCTGGACCCTCCCAGACGAGCCATTTCAGACCCCCCCTCGTGGGAGAACCATCCAAAACGTCGTCCCCAGACCCCCCCAGGCCCTCCAAGATAGCCTGGAAGAGACCCCCCCCCCGAAATGTGACCCCCCTCCCTTTATTGCGAAATCTGGGGTAACTGGGGATTTCACAACAGTGAACGACGTGTAAGAGTGACCCTTCGCTGGAGTGACCTTTGGTGCGGGCACATTGGGGTTCCCCGATCGCCGAAATCGATGCGCTGGTGGCGTCTTGCGCGCCTGTGCTTGGTCACCCCGCGGCCCTCAGATCCGATGCGATTCGGTTCGCCAGCCAGAACCGCGCTTTCGCAGGGGCGCCCTCGAGGGCGCGAAGTTCTTCGCGCTTCGCGCTTCGCGGTTCGGCTCCGATTCCTCCTCAGCCTCCCCTCCTCCCCTGGGAGGCGGCGCGAGAGCGCGAAGTTCTTCGCGCTTCGCGCTTCGCGCAGCGCGAGGCGCGAAGCGCGAAGTTGGGAGCCCTTGATTCGAGTCGATTCGGCTGGATTCTCCGGCATCGGTCGGAGCCAGCTGGTCGAGTCCTGGACGATTCGCTAAGCGCGGCGACCCCCGCCGCCCGTGCGCCGCCCCCAGGAGAGGCCTAGATTTCACGTCGGGCTCGTCCCTCTACAGGGAGAATCTTCAAAAACAGTCAAAAAATAGTCAGGGGACGATTTTTTGATTTTTTTTGCCATTTGGCAATGTGTCGGGGGTATTGTTTCTGTTTCGTCGAAAATCCCCCTGCAGGGGGACACGCCCGACGTAAGCTTAGATCAGAGGAACGAGACGCACACACACATCGGGGACACATGATGACTCAAACATACACTTTCGGGGAAGAGAGCATCCGTTGTCGACCCGATCCGATTTCGCGATGGTCATGCTCAGGCCTGTTTCCTGGTCGAGAGCGCCGGCTTTCGGGGAACGGACAGTGACATAGACATCAATTGTCGGAGCTCCGCGCGACTTTCTTGGATCTGCGAAGGACCCCTTGACGGCGCCCCCTCCCTTGCGCGCTCCGCGCGACAGGGAGGGGGCTCCGGAGCGGATCCAACAAACCCGCACGGATCTCCAAGAGTTGAGTGTCGATGTCGTGTTTTTTCTTTCAGTTTTTCGGGCTCGAGGTTTTCGCTCCGGTCCTCCAGCCCCGGGGGTGCTTCCGAGCAGGAGCGCCTCGTCGGGAGCGTTCCCGGGGAGCCCGGAAGGGAGCCCCCATCGGCTGCCCGAGGCCAGGGAGGCGTGGCCCGCGAGCCAGTCGGCGGGGCGCCGAGGAGGAGGAGGAGGAGGAGGAGGAGGAGGAGGAGGGAGGAGGAGGAGGAGGAGGAGGAGGAGGAGGAGAGCGAGAGGGGGCGGGCCTGCTCAGATCGGGTATAGCCAGGACCCCAGGTGAGGGGGCCCGGTCAGTGGTAGGGCCCCGGAGCCCGCTGAATCTGCCAGAATCACTAAAAACCAGGTGTGCCGTGTATCAGAGCGTGAATTACCTACCCCGTTTTCGCTTCCAGGCAGAACCAAGCCATACCACGCGCCTCCTCGTCAAGCGGCCTGACCAGTACAGGCCGTAGTTTGGCATCGTTTGGTATCTCTCGGAAGCGAGGGTGGTCAAAAGCGATGTAGGCTTGCTTTCCCTTAGTATAGCTGGACTTGTTTCGGGCGATGGCAGTTCCAGTTAGAGCAGCGCGGCGGGGGGGCGTCCCCCAGTACAGATCACTAAGCCAGGTCCCATTCAACCCAGTTTTGCCAGCGCCCGATCGGAGGGCGGCGGGATCTGCGGAGAAGGCCGAGAAGGCTCCCCATCATATAGTGGAGGCCCATGCCAAGAAACACCCTGCTCGCCTCCAGGGAGCCCTGGGTTTCCTGGGCTTCGGTGGTTCTGCGACGGGGAGCGTGACGCTCCCACACCAAAAACCAATGGACGTCCTGGGGTCGCAGGGTTGGGTCTGCAAGGTTTCTCGTGGGCTGGCCTCCGCCGCTGCATGGCCCGCGGGCCAGGCGGCGGGGCGCCGCGGATGGAAGCGAGGGGGGGGCAGGCCTGCTCAGAGGGCGGCGGGGCGGCGGAGAAAGATTGAGAAAGCTCCCCAGGAGCGGGAGGAGATCTGAGCCTTCTGACTCCTGGCATCACTCGGACGTGTGCATTTTTTCTCGGCGAGGGCGATCGAGGAGCATCCTTGATCATTTGGCGAAAAAACCACGCACGAAACCGAAAAAGCACAGGAAATGGACGTCCGAGCGATGCCAGGGAGTCGGGGCTCAAGAGGTGGGGGTCAACGCAAACGGGGGTCAACGCAAACGGGGGTCAGCCAGAGCGCCGGATCTTGCAGGACCCTGCGGGGCCAGGGTCGCATTGACCTGGGCTCGGGCGCGGGATCCTGCAGGATCCTGCGGGATCCTGCAGGGCCAGGGTCGCAAGGCCCTGGGCTTGGGCGCAGGGTCTTGGATGATCCTGCAGGATCCTGGGAGGCCTGACCGGCCCGGGTCTGGCCTGACCCGGGTCAGAAGATGCCCCGACTGAGGAGGCCTGCCCTTGCTGCCTTTCCTCTCGGTCTCGCCGCCGAGGAGCTGTCAAATGGGGCCCGAGTGGCGAGGCTCTGTGACTGCGGCGCCTGGGGGTGGCGGGGCGCGGCCCCATGGGCTGCCGTGTCAGGAGCGGGCATGGGGCGAGAGGCTGCCCCGGGAGAAGGGGTCGGGGCCTCTGGGGCAGCGCACCGAACAGATGACATCGTCGGATGTTTGGGCATTGGGGTCGGTGTCGCCCCCAACACGCTACTACTATGCGTGCGTGTCACCAGACTGGGGCGACGCGCGCACCGAGGAGTCTTCCAGTGCATGCTCCCTGGCGGCCGCTTTCTGGCCACGCCGCTCGTGAAACGATAATAGTGCAGGATGGTTATCCTATATGTTGGTGTCGGACGCACGCCTTCAAGGCGGACACATAGTGCTAGTATGTCTTTGTGCGCCCCATTGGGGTCCAAGTAGATGGGGTCGGAGGTTCGCGCCTCGCACTGGCGAGACGGCACCCGCTGAAGCACGCTGTTTTCCATCCCGGCGTCGCGAGTGCATCGGCGATGCGGTACGACTTCCCCCCCGCCCCACCAGCGCCGCCCTCTTTGATTTGGGAGTCCTCCACTCCCCTGAGACCCTGGCTCGGGGGCCCCCAAACGGGGTGGTGACCACACCGTGCGGTGAGTCGGGGGGGATTCGGAGTCACCGCACGGTTTTGGGACTCGGGTCGTTCTCCGAGGACGTCTCGGGCGACAGGGGCCTCCAGGGTCCCAAGACCGTGCGGTGACGGACCGTGCAGTGAGGTCTTGGGGGATTTCGAGGTCACCGCACGGTCCGTCACCGCACCGTTTCGGGACTCCAAACTGGCGTCCCGATGTTTTCGAGCCTGGCGGTTTAGATGTTGTTCGGGCGCGGGGACCCTCGCGGATCGATCTGGCTCGAACACTGACGAAGAAACATGGTGTCCAGGGCTCCAGGCACGATTTTGTACAATGTTGCAATTGTTTGTCGCTACGTCGGATCTCAGGGTCAGGCATTCGTAGAGAGGGTCTGCACCCCAAGGTGGGTTTGGGAAGCGGATCTGCCTCGACGCTGACAGTTCTGCTGTGTAGTGACTGTCCATTGCAGGTTTCCTCCGGTCCCCCTTGTGCCCCTGCGGTACTTCGCGTCGTGTCGACGAGGCGGCGACGCCGCCGCGGACATTCATGGTTGGCCTCAGTGTCGGCCGATGTGGAGCGTCGTCTTGCACGACCGAAAAGCCGCGATCGTTCAAGGCTCCGCGATCCGCGGAGTGTCAGAAATCGGCGCCTGGGCCGTCGCGACGCGAACCTATCCTCTCTCCTACACCTCCCCCTCCTCCTCCTCCTCCTCCTTCTCCTCCTCCTCCTCCTCCTCCTCCTCCTCCTCCTCCTCCTCCTCCTCCTCCTCCTACACCTCCCCCTCCTTCTTCTCCTCCTCCCTCCTCCTCCTCCTCCTCCTCCTCCTCCTTCTTCTCCTCCTCCTCCTCCTCCTCCTCCTCCTCCTCCTCCTCCCCCTCCTCCTCCTCCCTCCTCCTCCCTCCTCCTCCTCCTCCTCTCCTCCTCCTCCTCCTCCTCCTCCTCCTCCTCCTCCTCCTCCCCTCCCCCTCCTCCCCCTCCTCCTCCTCCTCCTCCTCCTCCTCCTCCTCCTCCCGCTCGTTCGATTCTGCCCCCCCCCTCCGGTTCGGGGCACCGGCCGCGGAGACCTCACCGACCCGGCCCGGGCCCGCACCCCGGGGAGCCCGAGGGCTGTGCCGGCGCCCCCTCTGCCGGCCGAGCGAGCGCGGCGCGGTGCACCGACCCTGGGCCGGGAGCCGGCGTCGTGATTCTTGGAAGGGGCCACAGGACACCTCTCCTCCTCCTCCCCTCCTCCTCCTCCTCCTCCTCCTCCTCCTCCTCCTCCTCCTCCTCCTCCTCCTCCTCTTTGAAGTACACACAAATAAAGAAGATGTCCATATTTTCCCATATTTTCTGGGTTTCTGTCTTCCCCCCCACTTCCCACATGTTCCATACTTTCCGGGGGATCGAGGGTTCATTGTGTCTGGGTGTTTCTTTTCCGCCTGACTCTTGTCGCGGCATGGACCCTGGAGTTGTGAGGCTCCAGCTTACTCTAGCCTTGATCGCCGGAAAGTCAGAGCCCCGAATCATCAGGGGTAATTCGGGTCAGGGCTAACTCGGGTTCGTTTTTCGGGATGCCGAACCCGAGTTGCCCCGGGCCCGAGGTACCCCGGATGATTCGGGCGTCTGGAGCCCCGAATCATCAGGGGTAACTCAGGTCAGGGCTAACTCGGGTTCGCTCGTCGGGATGCCGAACCCGAGTTGCCCCGGACCCGAGTTACCCCGGATAACTTGGGCGCCCAAGAAAGAATGTCGAGCACCAGAGAAAGTACCGAAATTGGAGGGTTGTCACGTGTCGGGCCCTGGGAGGCGATGCTCGCTCGACACTGCTTCGATACTTTTCGGGGTGCTCGGAATTGTTTCTGGGATGTGGTCCTTAAGTACGATGGGAGCCACAGAACCCTGGAGATCTGGACGCCCCGAGAGCGTTTTTCTATGCCCCGGCGATAGCGGGCTTCCCGAGGGGGGAGCAGGGGGATGGGAACGGCAACGTCATGTTTCGCGGCGGGGCCGTCTGGGAACATCGATGAACTCCGTCGTCATGACTCGTGACGGAACCCAGGGGGGGGGAAGGCGGCCAGGGCCGGTAATGGCCTCTATCGCAAAACGTGCAAAATTCTCTCCTCCCCAGGCCCGTTTTTCATCCCGGGGGTCGTTCTTTGCTGGTCCTGAGGCCCCCTTGAGGGCCCCCGCGGAGAGTCCTCAAATGGCCAGCAACCTCTCGCGCCGTGGTTTTTGTTCCCAGCGAGGGTCCACGCCGACGTCGCTGATGCATCGCCGAGGATCGCCAGTACAATCCTCCGACCCCATCTGCTCGGACCCCATCTGGGAGGGCTCCAGACCGACCCAGAAGATCCGCTGACATTCAGACCTGACGTTGCAAGTTTCAAGGCAAGGTGCATCATCGCAACAAGTCGCAACTGCATAGCCCCAGACCTCGTCTTTCTGCGCAACTGTTCGAGCTGGACCGATCCAGGAGGGCCCCGGGGCCCGAAACCGGGCGAGAGCGCCCGTGGTGAAACAATTGCAGCGCCAGGATCTCAGGGGACGCCTCCCCCCACCGAGACCGGCCCAGAGGACTGGGGGCAACGAGAAGGGGGGGATAGACATAGGTCGGCCACGCGCAGAGGGGGGTGGGGGGGAGGGGGGAGGAGAGAGGGCCTCTTAGAAGCACCCCTACTTCTTAGAAGGCGCGGGCCTTCTCTGTAGATGCAAGGCCGGCGCCTTTAAGAAGCAGCCTCCTTCTCAGAAGCCCTCCCCCCTTTCCCTACCCCCTTGTGCTCGCCGCCAAATAGGGGTGCATCGACCTCGAATGGTTGATGTGCCGATGATGCATCGACGTGGCATCATCGACATCAGGGCACCTTGCCCGACGACCTACACGGGCGATGCATTGACGAGGCATCGGCTATACATGGGGCGGTCTGCACCCACGATCGATGGGCGGGATGTGTCGGCAATTCGAGGTCGATGCATACCCCCCCTTCTGCTTGTCCCCCCCACCCTATCGTTAAGTCGGGCGCGTTCCTCTATGGAATGCTCAATAATAGTCGAAAAATATTGTCTGGGGACGATATTCTGCATATAGTCCGGCACTTTGGGAGTATTGGTTTAAAGAACTATGTTTCATGTGTTCCAACATCTGCCTGTATGGGACATGCCCGACCTAACCCCATCGTCGGCTACACGCAAGAGTGACCCTGGGTTAGAGTGACCTCTGGTGCGCGGCTTCTGGGGGTGCCGCGGGTGGACCAAACCTGGTGGGCGCGCAAGCAGCAGCTGCTGCTTCGTTTTCCGCCATCTGGGGGCCCATCTGTTCCCGCACCAATCAGGAGGTCAACAAACACACAGACACATCGTCGCTTCCCCAGAAAATATGAAAAACAAATATGGGAAGTGGGGGAAGACAGCAACCCAGAAAATATGGGCAAATATGCGGGGCCCTTTTTTATTTGTGATATTTGTTTGTGTGTCCCAGGGCCCCTTCAGCCAAAAGGGCACTCCTGCGAAAGGTCACTCTTTACGTCTCGTCGATCTCTCTCACCGTTCCCCCTAGGATCGGGGGAGCGTAAGACCCGGGTTTGCCAGAACTCGGGTTCGCCATCGTTTGTTTGACGACCGCGCCTCGGATTTTGACGAGGAGGAGTTTCGTGGGACGTCTGCAGCGGGAGGCCTCGTCAAAATGCAGGCTCGGCCTCGCCATTTTTGTTGACGACCTCGTCGGGGATTTCCGAGTTCCCTGTACCCGGGTCTTACGCCCTTTTTTAGTTGTGATATTTGTATGTGTGTCCCAGGGCCCCTTCAGCCAGAAGGGCACTCCTGCGAAAGGTCACTCTTTACGTCTCGTCGATCTCTCTCACCGTCCCCCCTAGGATCGGGGGAGCGTAAGACCCGGGTTTGCCAGAACTCGGGTTCGCCATCGTTTTTTTGACGACCGCGCCTCGGATTTTGACGAGGAGGAGTTTCGTGGGACGTCTGCAGCGGGAGGCCTCGTCAAAATGCAGGCTCGGCCTCGCCATTTTTTTGACGACCTCGTCGGGGATTTCCGAGTTCCCTGTACCCGGGTCTTACGCCTCCCCGATAGGAGGACCACGACCCCGGGCGACGAGAGGGGCGAAGGGAACCATGCACATGCACAGATACTGGCAAGGCCCATCCTTGACCCAGGATCGGTGCATATGCCTTCCGAGCCAAGGTAGGAGGGCGTATGCACCGATCCTGGGCTCAGGATGGGCCTGGCCAGAATCGGTGTATGTGCATAGTTCTTTTTCCTCTATCTTTACGTTTCGTCGATCCCCCTCGCGACGGCGCGAGGCCTCGGCGGCCGCGGGACCCAGGGAGGATTGGTTTTTGTTGACAGGGGACCCAGGGATGTAATATATATATATATATATATATATATTATTATTATTAATTATATTATTATTATTATTCTTATTATTAGTATTATTATTATTGTTTTTATTGTTAGTATTATTGTTATTATTATTATTACTGTTAGTATTAATTTTATTATTATTATGATTATGATTATGATTGTTATTATTATTTCTTCTCCCCTTACCGTCGACCCTCGCCGTCTCGACCCTCGACCCGAGTCCCCTGGGACCCGCGGGACCCTTGACCCTCAACAAAAAGACCCGGGGTGAAGCACCGGTCCAGGGGAGCGGGCCGAGACTTGCGAGGGTCGACGTTACTCCAGATTTCGTAATAAAGAGCCTGGAGCATATCCCCATCCCTATGCTGGGCATCTCCCATCACGATGCCAATCTTAGGGAGTCCCTTCGTTTTTCAGGGCGAATCCCGAAGACCCGGCGCGTCGCCGCTGTGTCTCCCGAAGCGGGAGGCAAGTACTGAAGGGGCCCTGGGACACACAAAGGAATACTCCAGATGTCGTAATAAAGGGAGGGGGGTCTCATTTCGGGGGGGGTCTCTTCCAGGCTATCTTGGAGGGCCTGGGGGGGTCTGGGGACGATGTTTTGGAGGGTTCTCCCACGGGGGAGGTCTGAAATGGCTTGTCTTGGAGGGTCCAGACCCCCTCCCTTTTATTACGAGATCTGGAGTACGAAAAAAGCACGACGTCGGGGGTCGAGGTGCCGATACCGATGCCTCGGCGGCCCGCGGGACCGTCAACAAAAAGGCCCGGGGTGAAACACCGGTCCAGGGGAGCGGGCCGAGACTTGCGAGGGTCGACGTTCCGAAAAAAGAGCACGACGTCGGGGGTCGAGGTGCCCACACCGATGCCCTTCCCCCGTTTGACCTCGTCGCCACCGCCGGATGCGCCTTGAGATCCTGGTCAGAACGCACTCCTCCTCCTCCTCCTCCTCCTCCTCCTCCTCCTCCTCCTCCTCCTCCTCCTCCTCCTCCTCCTCCTCCTCCTCCTCCTCCTCCTCCTCTCGGGAGAGGTTCGGGGAGAAGCGGTATGGGTACCTTTTTGGTATCCCCAGGCGGCGCCTTCGCGAGCCACAGGGCGAGGGCGGCGGAGCTGGCGAGGCCTTGGGGGCCGGGTGTCCGGGTGCCTCGGCGGCGAGGTCCGCCCCCCCGCCTTCGCCGATCCACGGTTTCCGGCAGCTCGATGGGCAGCGGGGGTACAGGTCGGTAGTCCCCAAACGTGGTGGTGACAGCACCTGGCGGTGAGTCTCGGGCGATTTGGTGTCACCACCCGGTTTGGGGGCTCGTGCGGTTTTCCGAGGATGTCCCGAACATTGGTGGGGCCAGGAGTCACAAAACCCGGTGGTGACCCCGTGTCCCCAAACCCAGCGGTGACCTTTTTGGGGATTCCAGGTCGCCACCTGGTATCTCACCACCCGGTTTGGGGGTTCCCAAACAGGGTTCGGAATTCGTCGAACACGTTGCGAGGTCCGAACCCTGCCCCCGATGCCCGTCGACTGGAGAACCGATGGTTGCTGGGGGTCGGGTTCGGACGTCGCCACCTAGCGTCAAGTCGGGCCTGTCCCTCTACAGGGGGAATCTTCAAAAATAGTCAAAAAATGGTCTGGGGATTGCTTCTCTTTTAAGTATTTTTGGGCCATTTGGGGGTATTGTTTGCATATTTGTTATGTTTCGTCCAAAATCCCCCCTGTAGGAGGACAGGCCCGAGTTAAATCTAGCGTCCGCCCTCGGAAGGCAGCTGGCGGAGTCCGACGCCGAGCTGGACGCCTCACTCGAGCGGCTCGGGGAGCTGGAGCAGCGCTCCGCGGCGCTCCTGGCGTGCCAGGAGCCCCCCCCCTGCCCGAAGAAAACAAACTGCTGAAACATAGATTTTCGGCGCTCCGCGCTGATTCCCTTGGATCGGCACCGGGCCCCCCGGGCGGCGCCTGTGGCGCTGCCCCTGGCGCGCTCCGCGTGCCAGGGAGGGTGTCCAACGCCGATCCAAGGAATCCGCGCGGATCTCCGGGGCAGTTCTCTGTTCCTCCACTGCTGCCTCCTCTCCCGCCGCCCCTCCTCACCCCTCCCTGGGCACGAGGTTTTCGGGCGCTTCGTGAGCTAGTCGAGGTAGTCCAGCCTCGGGATGCTCTCTTGCAGCTGCGCCTCGCCGAGGGCGTTCTAGGGGTGCGCACGAGCGATGCCGCTTCTCCCTGTGTGATGATGTTCCAAGCTACTTTAGCCTTGACCACCAGAAAGAATTTCGGGCGCCAGAGAGGTACCCCAGAATTCGACGGTTTTCGCATGCCGGGCCCTGGGAGACGCTGTTTCGACACTCTTTCGACACTCGTTCAACACCTTCCCAGGCGTTCGAGATTATTTCTGGGATGCGGTCCTTGCGTACGATGGGCGCAACAGAATCCAGGTGCCGATCCCAGGGGCCCCCCCAGCTTCTGGAGGCCCAGATGCAGGGCTCGTTTCGACACCTCCGATTCGATTCGATTCGATTTCGATGGCTTCCGATTCCGATTCGATTCGACTTGGGATTCCGATTTGGGTTCCGATTTCTTATTGAAGGCCTACTAGCCTGCCGATTTCCGCCGATTCGACTTTTTCCGACTGGGCTGCCGATTTCCGCCGATCCGATTCATGTCGATCGCCGATCCGACTTATCGATTCGATTCTGCGCTCTCCTGCAGATGGTCGTCGCCGTGGGCCTGCCGATCCTGGGGAGATGTGGGCCAGCTCGGGGCCCTGTCGTCAGCCGTCTCTCAGGAGGAAAAGAAACACACAGACACAATTCATCCTCGATTCCCGAGAAAATATGGGGAAATATAGGGCATATTTTTATTTGTGTGTATTTATTTGTGTCCTGGGGCCCCTTCAGTCTCCCCTGCCCGTGCTCTCTCCTCCCCCGCGCCCCCCACCGCGGAGAGGCCCCCGGCTGACGCCGCGGAGGAGCCGCTCCGGGGCTGGCGGCGCGCGCCGCGCCGCGCGTGCCGCGGCGGCGCGGCGCGCCCGCCGTCGGCGCCGGCCGCGTCCGCCGTCGGCGCCCGCCGCGGCGTGCGGGAGGCGGCCGGAGTGGCTAAAACGACGCGAAGATCGGGACAAAATCGGATCGGGGTGACTCGAAATCTCCGAGGATCGGCGGGTTCGGAGGGTGTCTTGGGCGCCGCGGCCGCTCCAGAGCGTGCCGGAACGCTCTGAGAGCGCTGCGGAGCGCTCTGGAGCGATTTATCCCGATCCTGGCCCTGTTTTATCGGCGCCCGCCGCGGGAGGCGGCCGGAGGGGCGCCTCCGCTCGCCGAGCGCGCTCCCCTGCTGGCAGAATGCCGGCTCGCACATGTCCGAAAGATGTTTGTTCGCCGCGGTGCAATATAAGTAGAGAGAGAGAGAGAGAGAAAAAAAAATATAAGTAGAGAGAGAGAGAGAGAGAAAAAAAAATCTCTTCGAAGGAGTAATACATATATATATTTATTTTTATATATTATTTATACCCTGGTAGTCATCCCCCGCGGCGGATCGGGGCCATTTGCGAGTGGTCACTCTGCGAGTGGTGGAGCGCGCCTGTCTATCCACGTCTCTCTCTGTGCGGCTCCGCCTCCCCAGTCCAGGCCTCTCAGATGAGCGACGCCCAAAACAGAACGAGGTCGATTGTGCCGACATTTGCGCGCAAGCTGCCCGCGTAGCATCGCGCGCAAGCGCCCTCGTTTCCTGTGTGGCGTACCGCGCTGGAGGCCCGCGTGAGCTGCGGCGTCAGATTGCTACGTCGTCTCGCGTGAGACCCGCTTTTGATCGTCGACCAGATGGGGTCCGAGCAGGTGAGGTCAGAGGATCGCGCCGCATCGCCGACGCATTGGCGATGCGGCGCGATGTGCAGCCCGATTTTCTCCGCTGCGACGCCGCCGAGGCATCGCCGACGTCGCCGATGCGGCGCGATCCTCCGACACCTTTTGCTGGGATTCCATTTGAGAGGCATCTATGTCGTGTTTCGGGGTTCATTGTCTTCGCACGTGTTCGTGGCTTCTCAGATGTCTTCAGGCCCCAAGTTTCTGCCAGCAGCTGCGCCCCGCCGAGAGCAGCGTGAGAACGTCCGAAGAGCAACAACACTTGTATTCACATAAATGAGGAGAGGGAAAAAACACGGAAACAAGTAATCCTCGATTCCGCAGAAGATATGGGAACATATGGGAAGTGGGGGGGAAGAGAGAAACCCAGAACATGTGGGAAAATATAGGGAATCTCGCTCAGTTTTTATGTGTGTATTTATTGTGTGTCTTGGGGCCCCTTCAATAAATTCCAGGAGCTTCGCTCAGTCTTCCTGGATCGGCGACTGGGCCCAGGGCCCCCCTGGCGGCGTCTCTGGCGCCGCCCTTAGCTCACCACTCACCAAACCACCCCAACCCAACCCGAAGCCCTCAATTGGCCTTCCATCTCCAGTGTGGGGGGGGTCGGGGAACGTGGAAAAAACACATGGAATCCGTACCCTCCTCAACCCGAAATTCGGGTCAGATTCGGGTCTTCGGGTCGGGTTGGGGTAGTCTGGTAGGTAGTCACTAGCGCGCTCCGCGCGCCAGGGTGGGGGTTCCAGCTCCGATCCAAGAAATCCGCGCAGACCTCAGAGAAGTCATGTTTCTGCAGTCTCTTGTTCCTCCCCTCTTCCTTCGGGTCGCGGGCGCTCCATCGAGGGCCGCGCAGGCGTGGCGGTCGCTCGCGAGGTCCGCGCGCTCCCCGGAGGTTCTCTTGGCCTCGGCATGCCCTGCGGCAGCTGCGCCCCGCCGAGGGGCGTTCCGAGGGGCGCCCGCGTAGGGCCGCTGGAGACCCGGGCGATGACCCGAAAGCCAACCCATCGGCGATATGCTATGATGTTTCAATCCCGACGCTCCTCGACGTCGGCCTCTGAGACCTCCTCCTCCTCCTCCTCCTCCTCCTCCTCCTCCTCCTCCTCCTCCTCCTCCTCCTCCTCCTCCTCCTCCTCCTCCTCCTCCTCCCCTGCGAAGCGCGGCCAAGGTCGGGGTCGCCTCCCAGGGCCATTCAGAACGGATCCGGGGCGAGGAAAGTCCCCGCGGAGTTGGTCGGGCGGCCTGTGGCCGCGAGACGAGTAATAATTGCGCGCTGGCACTGGAGTCCGAGCTCCACGTGGAGGCACGTGTTGGTCCGAGGTCGAGCCGGTTCGACTTCCACAGCTTTCTCGGGAGGCTCGGAGGCCGAGGCTTTCGGACGTCCCTGGCCAGCTCCGGATTCTCCAGGGGGCCTCCGAGAGGGCGCCTCTCGGCGTGACTCCCCGAGGGACGTGTCGGACGGAAAAGGAGGGTCCGCGACTCAGCTCACGCGTCGGGGGCGTCCACGGGAGTGGTGGCAAAGGAAGGCAAGGGCGCGGACGGGGGGCGACAAAAAATGACGGCGTTTGCGTGCCAGTGGATTTGTTTTTGCGGAGTTGGGCGCCCTGGCGCGGACGGCCGAACGACCCCTGCAGCGGGACACCCTGGCCACACGGTCGCCGCCGCAAAAATTGCCGGTTCAAGGCTGGCGGGGGGGGGACCAGGGCATGCGCATTGAAGGTGGAAGATGGGGCCACTCAATCCAGGGATACGTCATGGCCCCAGCCAGGGCATCCCCCCCGTATTCGTCACCACCACCCTCCCAGTCGCCTGCGCATGGAGCAATCGTTTCCCCGACGCCCCCCCGGCGCCAGGAAACGCTGGTGCACTGAGGAAGGGCGTCCAGCGGCGGGCCGAAACCTTTTCACTTGCGGTAGATTTCGCAACCCTCCTTTCCCCGTGGCGTCCGATCCGAGGAGGCGTCCGTGCGCGCAGCGGGGGCCAGAAGAGAAGGGGCAGCGCAGAGGAGGGCAGGGGAAGGGGGCAATCACATGTGACTTGGCGTCGCTCGGACGTGTGCATTTTCTTTCTCGGCGAGGACCTTCGAGGACCATCCTCGACCATCTGGCGAAAAAAAGCACGAACGAAACCGAAAAAAAAACACAGGGAATGGACGTCCGAGCGATGGCCAGGTGAACTCTGCCCAGGCGGGTCAGATGCCTGAAACGCCGGCGGTGGTTCAGAACTCGAAGCACGCATGCAGCCAAGTGAACCTCCACGGGGCTTCCCGATTTCCCAAGGTCGGTGGGGCCCGCAGGGATAGGATCAGCAAGTGGTGGCATGGAGAGGACGAGGGGAAGGATCTCGAGGACCCGACGTCGTGTTTCTTTCCCAAGACGTGGGCGCCCGAAAATCTGGACCCCTTGCCCAGGACCGGATTTTAATTTTGAGCTTATGTTGACTGCCCTGGGGCCTGGCACAGCCCCCCGTCATGATTTGTTCAAAGATGGACAGGAGGTGAGGTGCGGGGGGGCGATGGGGATGAGGAGACAACCCAGAGGGCATTCTTGGAAGAAACGAGCCGGCCGCCCGCAGGAAAAACCTCAGGCAACAGTGATTTGTGGCGCGCGGCTTTGGAGGGCTGCGGTGGGGTGGGGTGGGGGGGGGGGGGGGAATCCGCAGGCCAGTGCTGGGAGCACCCCTTTTGAGCCCGCACCATAAGCCACTGCGGCGAAAGGGCACCCTGCCGCGCACCCCGACGTGGGACGAATTGAGTTTTTTCCAGCCGCGGCCACCTCCCCGGGGGACCGCTTGTGGCCCCCGGGATTCACTGCTTGGTGGTCCCAGGGCCCGAGAAACGGCCCCGGAGGCCGAGAGCGAGGAACACCCCTGGACAGAAAAGAACGGATCTCCGCCACAATAATATGTATACATGTATCCATATATATATATATATATATATATACATACATATATTCATATACACCTTATATATATACGCATGCATACATACATACACATACATGTGTGTATGTATGTATGTATGTATGTATGTATGTATGTATGTATGTATGTATATACATATGTATATCGGGGGTGGACAGACCCCCCGCCCTGACACGTCGACTAGTGAGCTGTCCATGTTCGACTTTCGAGAATGCGCCGCGGCCGTCATTTTCCACGCCTGCACCCGCCAGGTTTCGGCCAAAGGCCGTCTTCACTAAACAACGTTTTGCTACGGGGGCTCTGTCCACCCCCGAATATACATATATATATATATATATAGACAGAGAGAGAGAGAGAGAGAGAGAGAGAGAGAGAGAAAAGGAGAGAAAGAGAGAGAGACATAGATAGATATACCCACCGGTCGTTGAAAGTAGGTCTTTTTGGATTCTTAGATCCCAATCTACTTTAAGCGCCTTTCTATTTCAAAAATCTATATTTTTTGTTTGTTTTTGGGGCGGGCGCAAACCTAATCTACTTCTAGGGTTTGGTTGTCACTTCCCTGGGTGACGCTGGTCGCTCGGCCCCTCGGCTGGCCCCATTCCTTTGTTTGTTTTCGCATGGCCGTCGGCTGCACTGGGCGCCCCAGGCTCGCCCGCCGCCTTTCGGTCGCTCGGCCCCTCGGCTTGCCCAATTCTTTGGTCATGATTGTTTTGTTCGTTTTAGCTTGTCCGTCGGCTGCGCTGGTCGCCCCAGGCTCGCCCCCCGCCCCGCGGTCGCTCGGCCCCTCGGCTGGCCCAATTCCTTGGTTTTGTTTGTTCTTGTTTGTTTTCGCATGGCCGTCGGCTGCACTGGTCGCCCTGGGCACACCCGCCGCCTTTCGGTTGTTCGGCCCCTCGGCTGGCCCAATTCTGGATTTGCTTGTTTTTGTTTGTTTTCGCTTGTCCGTCAGCTGCACTGGTCGCCCCAGGCTCGCCCGCCGCCCCGCGGTCGCTCGGCCCCTCGGCTGGCTCAGTTCCTTGGTTTTGTTTGTGTTTGTTTGTTTTCGCTTGTCCGTCGGCTGCACTGGTTGCCCCAGGCTCGCCCGCCGCCCCGCGGTCGCTCGGCCCCTCGGCTGGCCCAATTCCTTGGTTTTGTTTGTGTTTGTTTGTTTTCGCTTGGCCGCCGGCTGCGCTGGTCGCCCTG